CCCCAAAACCCCAAAACCCCAAAACCCCAAAACCCCTCTGAGCCAAATCGAGATTGAATTTTAATAGTGCTTTCCTGCTTTAAAGCACTCTGGGTATATCCTTTGCATATCTGTATTTAGTAGCTGCCCAGATTAGTTTCTCTAATATTTCTTCATCAGGCACGAAGTTCATCTGAGGTGGGTGAGACAGGTAAGCATGAGCAATGGCCACCTTTGCTTTACTTATTGTCTTCTCCATTTCCGATTGAGACAAATTAGCATCAATATTCTTAACATTTTCAAGCATGCTTGCATTCCATAAATGCATTTTAAAACTATCAGCAAGGATAGGAACACGTTTAGTCTCTTTTTGGCGTTTATACTTCTTAATAGAGCTTCTTCTCTTCTTACTACCACTTTTAGGGCTAGATCTTGAGCCTCCAGGGGATCGAGATGGGCTATTATCATCTTCATCTGACAGATAAATATCATCTGTCAACTTCATAGCTGCTCTTATTTGCTTATTTTCTCTTAGCAATTGATAAGGATTGGTAAAGATCCTCTCCATCTGCTATTTTCAGGATGAATTCTACAGATAAGAATTAAGGTTACCTTTGTACTTCTTTCTCCATTTGAAGAACTTTACGCAGTACTCTAGCTTGCACTGGTCGTAGTACCTATAAGAAGTAAATCTAAGGGGGGAATACCGCTGGATCATGATCTCTTTTACAAGAGTAGAGATTCCTTTTAGTTTATTCAGTTTTATCCTTGCCTTGTCTGTCTTCTTGGAGCTAGAAGTTGAGTGAGTGAGGAGAGGATAAATAGTTTTAGAGTTTTTTATGAGAGATTGGACTTTTGAAATAGGATGTGCTGAGAAAGTATTTTTCAAGGGTTTATAGGACAAGAGACATTTAATGGAATTTGTTGAATTCTGAGATAGGCTTGGTTTAATAGCAAGTCAGCTACCAAAATCGATATTGGTAAAATAATTTAAGGCATAAAGTCCTTGAAATGAACTGAATTTACCTATCTTTATATTTGTCCATCATTTCAAAAAGCTTATTATTCCAATATTGTGATATCATCTTGATTCTGGTTTTCTTGCTGAATATTAAGCTTGAGCCTTACATAACCATTTTAGCCATCAGTCTATCCTTTGTCAAACACATTCTAGAATGAAATTCGTAAAAGTGAGAATGGAGCTCAAGTCTTTTTCAATTATTCTCTAGAAATTTCTTCAGTACTAATCTGGATCTGTCCTCTCAAAGCTCTCTCATATTCTGAGCAGTGTAGTTTAATCCACTAAAGGTTATCTAAAGTTATATTTACCTTCTGATTAATCCTATAGTCCTCTCTTCATAGTTCTGCCCTTGCTTATTTTAATTTATACCTAAAATTTGAGTAAGCTCATTGACAAAGAGAATGAGCAATTTCTAGAATAACGAGAACCCAAGCTGAAGGCTTTACCTTAATTTCCCAGCGATTTTGATTACAGCAAGTGTTAAGCTTCTTTTATGCAGAATTTCTCTTCTCCTGTATTCATACTTCCTTGCTATATCAGCGAAGTATTTTCTGGTAAGGATCTGTGAGTTCCAAACGATGATGCATTGTTGTTTGATAATCTCGATTCTGATCCTCTTCTGTTTCTCTTGTTCCTAAATTTTATTATGCTTAGAGTACCTCTTTCCTCTTACGCTCCCAGTAGCTTATGCTTGTCTCTCGGCTCCGTTTTATTTTCTCTATCTGTTTTCTTTTATTTTATTACAAGGCTCTTATTAACTCTGGTCGCTGAAGAGAGTCTCTCAAGTTTCATCTTCCTGAAGGAACCCCAGTGCTGAGCAATCTGGATATTCGTGTTGATTGATGAATGATTCTTAGCCTTAGAGGATTTAATCATCGCTAATTGCTGCTGGAACTTATCCATTTGAGTCGGATAGTCTACTAAATGATCCATCCGAAGTTTGATCTGTTTTCTTGTTTTAGAAATATCAGCTATATTTTAGGTCCATTCTTAAGAAGCAATGCTTGTCGCTCTCTCAAGGTTAGCAGTTTCTTGGCCTTTTCTTTGCCTTTATTAGACACAGGGAGGGATTCTTTGTTCGGATAAGGCGTCACTGATATGTGACAACTTTCATCTAAATTTTAAATGACTGCCTTACCACTTTTAAATCATATGAAAACATATGAAAATTCAAACAGAAGGTTATTGATTTGGATAATTTTAGGATTTTTTAAGGCCAGATCACATCGGTTATTGGAAGGCCTCGGGGAGTTATTTATCAATAAACACTTTGACATTAGCATGAGACTCATAATTTACCAGCAAAAAGGCTTTGTCTTTAAAATGATTTCTATCGAGATGATAATAAACACCTGAATTAGGGATCAGATAGATCTCATATTCCTTAAATGCCTTCATCAGAGTAGTTGTCTTACCATCGTCAAGGATATTCTGGAGGATAAACTTTGATTTTATTAGATTATTCTTTGTCCGATGTAACATCTGTCTAGTATTGTACTTATCCAGATTATGAATGTGCTTATTTCTTAGTCCTATTGTTCCTATTTGCTTGGCTAAGCGACCTTATTTTCTCTCTAACCTCCTCATTCTCCTTAATAGTTCTCTGTGAGAGGTGGTGGCAGTAGAAATCTATAGTGTTGTTAGCCATTTTCGTCTGGGAGCTCTGTTGGCTTTGAACACTGTTGAACAAGAAATTCACATTCGGTTTCTTGGGCCTACCTAAAGACATTTCAATTTATAATTTTTTATAAGGGGTTTTGGGGTTTTGGGGTTTTGGGG